TCTCTCTCTCTCTCTCTCTCCCAGACATTTCCCAGAACTCATCAACATATTGGCCTTGACCTTCGCCCTTCTCCTGGCGGGCCCGTGCCTGGGCGCCGATATCGTGGACACTCTGGCGGGAATCTCTAAAGCCTCCACTCTCAAACAGCTGGTGGAGAAGGCTGGACTGGTCAACGCTCTCAAGACTGGTCAGTGGCTTCTTGTTTTGTTCTGGGGCAGGGGGGGCAGTGAGAGGGGGAGCGGGAATCTTTGAGATTTGCTTTTAAGGTGCTGGGGAGGGGGGTATCTTTAAGATTTGCTTTTAAAATAGGTATATTTATACCCCCATCGAAATAGTTTAGAACATTTATGAGGCGGGCTTCGAAACTGCAATGGAGAGGAAAAATGTTGTTCTCTTCCTTCTCAAAATGTACATGATATGTACGCACCCATTGACACAATTAATTAGATCAGTTAAATAGGAGGGGGATTTTGACCCTACCTATCATGGCCTCCCTGGGGTTAAAGAGATACAACATTCCAGCAAAATGATAAAGATACTTGATTGCTGGGTCTCCTGCATGCAACAGTTAAGAAACTTAGCCAGCCACTACACCAAAGACACCGGAAACTGGTGAGTCTTTGGAAACACTGGCGTAATGGTCCAAACACAATTGTTGACTAAATCCTATTTTCCTCACCTGTCTAGATATTGGAACAGTAGACATAACACCTTTTGTTTGTTCCGTATCCTCTGTCTGGCGGGGTTTTGTTTTGTTAACTAAAACTTTCTGTGGAACTATCTTTTGTCACCAGAGACAGCTCAGCTGAACTGATGGAACAATTGTGGCGACAGTGGTCTAGAGATTAAGCTACCTGACTCGTAATCGGGAGGTTGCGGGTTCGGGGGTTCGAGCTGCGGGCCCGACGTTGTGTCCTTGGCAAAGGCACTTTACACTAATTTTCCTCACTTCACCCAGGTGGGAATGGGTACCCGGCCATAGACAGCGAAAGATCTTGTCTGTATGTTAGTGTTTTAGCGCCTATAAATAGCGCTTGCACTGTATACTTCCCAGGAAGTTGAGGTTGTTTCAGAATGCTCTCAGGTCTACTGGGGTAATAGTATAGATTGTGAAGCCGATAGAGTTTGCTGTTGAGCTGGGATTTGCGCTATACAAGTGCTATCTTTTATTATTATTAACAATTTAATTCTCACCTGGTAAGCGGGCACGTACCCTGAGCCAGGCAAACACACTCTGACTGTGACCGTCTTTGACTTCCTGATTGTCATAGGTCAAGGTCACGGTACTGTGAGCTGATTGGACACGTCGGAAAGGAAGTTCATTGACTTTGCTGCTCTTGATCTGCGTGCGGTTTCCTAAGCGTGGGGGCGGGGGAGGGGGGGGTGGATGAGAAAAGGTAGCAGTGAAAGAGAGTAAACTACTCAGAAATCCGGGGAAAAGAAGGAAAAACATTACAGGGATTGTGAGTGAAGTTTTGGGAAATCCCACCTGATCTCTCTCTCTCTCTCTCTCT